CGGGGCGTATCTGTCTTAAGGCTATAGAATTAAATTCTAGCCTCGACTTTAACAGATTCTTTTATTTTATAGTTTTATTTTCTTGATATTAAACTATATAAATATATATAGATTATTATAATAAATATTATATTTACAAATAATATTTAAATAAATTATACTATAGTATATGATACATTTTTGTTCCACAGTCCATGGAAGAGGAAAACTGGGTCACGTGATTCAATTCGGCAGAGGGTACTTTTGTCCGACTGATTATGTAATTTCAATACTGATTATGTAATCTCAATTTGCATAATGGACAAAAGGTTATTTTTGTCCAAAACCTTTTTGATCTCCACTGTTTTGACGCATTGCTCTGGATTGAAGGATATGTGATAGGTTAACGAAATTAGGGTTGTTGATCAAAATATTGGTCCACATTTTATCCTGATGTATGGAAAAAACTCTTGAATTCAGCCATAGAAGAAGCTAGTAAGAACATTCTTCATCAACCGCGTTAAGCAAGTGCCCACCTTGACCTTGCCGTAAAAGGGACGAATGCCGCGATGGTCCAACATCTAATTTACCCTTTTGTCTCTAACTCGGTCTCCTAGCAACACGCTTTTTATAATAATAATTGCATATATATATTTATATTTGTGTATTATGTATACAAGTGTTGTATATGGTGGCTATTTGCTTTTATGTATATTCTTATATTTGTTTTGTTTTTTTGATACAAAAAGAATCTTATATACGATTTATTAGTATTATTTTTGAATTTGGTAAATACTCACATACTTACTAATATCTACGTTAATGAACTTATTGAAGTGTTTTAACATGTTTTTAAATAATTGGTAAAAAAAAAAATTTTAAGCTTCAACCAAACCACAGTAATTATTTTACGAACTCCGTGGTTTAGATTGTCTACAGTATTTAAATTATTTTTAAAAAAAAATATATACTTTTTGGGAACAAAATATTAGTTTAAACCATATTTCTTTCGCTCCTTTTTCCAATAATTCCTCTTCGCCAGCTGAATTTAGAAAAGTGAAAAGTAATTAAATTTATAATAAATAAAATTTAGAGTAAAGTCATCCTCGTGTAACCATGGTTGAAGTCGTCGTTATCCTCACGGCCTCCTCGTTGCTTTTTCTCCATATATATATATATATATATATATATAAAATTGCGTGTTTTGTGAAAATAAATAAAGCTCTGATAGGTAAATTATAACTTTTAAAATTGTGTTATGGGTAAAGGTTCTTATTTTTAGGTAATTAATTTTTTAAAGATAATTTAATTCCTTTATATTTTTTATAAATGTAATTTTGTACCTGCTACTTACAAATAACAAACTTTTTTATTTTTTTTGAAGGGTTTAGAGGTTAATTGATGCCGAGTCTCGAACTCGTGCGCTCCAAGAGCCAACAGGAGGCATCTTACCAGCTAGGCTAGAAGACTTTGATAATAACAAATAATATTCAGACTCTATAACAAACGAATCTGAAACTCTGCAGCCCCTTTCAAATAAGATACAAATTAATTATCATTAAAACATGTTTAATTACAAATTCAATATCATAAACAAAATATGTGAACTACAAATTCGATATCATAAACAAAATATGTGATATTTCAAAAAATTAAAAAAAAAAATTATAGAGTTCAATGCAATTTTATAATATTTAATATTAAAAAATTAGTACATATTTAATGTAAAGATAATATAATAAAATTAGTAATAAAAGTGTTTTAACAAATATTATTATAAACAAATTTAAAATATAAAAAATACTTTATACATCACTAAATGCTTTAAATGTATTTTAATGGCAACAATTTTATTACAACTCTACTACTACTATTACTAACGTTTTTGACATTTTCACAGCAATTTAGACTCACGTGATAATAAAGATTCATGTACAAAGAGTAAACAATTTATCTTTGACTAGTGCAACCATATCTAAGGTCTCGGTATGTTCTTTTTCTTTTTTAAAAGTTTGACAATTTAAACCATTAATGTGAAGATAAGCAATGATGTCACATCCTTCAGAAAAGTTGAATGCCAAATTTTGGATTATTTCAATACGAATAAAACACTACTGGGTCTCTGTATAATTTAGTGCTTGCCATACATCACTCTGTAAAAGCACTTATTACCGCAGAGAAGGAAATTTAGAAAAACTGAAGGAAAAGATGCGAAAAGCCAACAAAAAGTCTAGCGCGTATATTCTTAACTCTTTAGAGATTCGCCATTGACTGTACTTTTAAGCATAAAAAGACATTTAAATGGTCAGAAACAAACCAATTATGACCCTTCTCAGCAACATGAAAAGCAATACTTAAGCTTTAATAAGTGTTACTCTCACATTATGAACCGTTTTCGTTCCCACGTATCCATTTTTATTTAAATTTTTATTATTTATGATATAATTTTGTCGCTCTTGAATTCACTCTCAACACTCCTGATCGTTGCCCCTTATTCTGTGTGTTTTTTTGTCTCTTCATTTTTTTTTGTTAAATCAAAAAGAAAAATAATATTTGAGCAACATATTTATCTTTAGATATGTTAAAGTGAGAATTATAAAAAATAAAAAAAGAGAAAAAACCTAAAGCTTCATAATTTACTTCTACAACAAGAGAGGAATAAATGCTAATTTCTTTCCTTGGGCCCACTTATTAAGTTAAATATTTTATTTATTATTATTATTATTATTTTTTTATCGTCTTTGGAAAGAAAAATCTCCCAGAAAAGATACCTAACCGATATGGCCTCTCAAAGTCTCGGTACTTTTGCATGACTAGAAGCATGCTACTTCAAACACGAAATTCATTTCAAATCCAAAGGCGTGACAAAGACGATTGTGGGTATTCTCATTTTTTTTTTTAAATATATATTTGGAAAGAAAATTCTCCCCAGAAAACATCCCTTACGGTTAAGGCCGGAACAGTACTTTCACCTCTCTATACTTTCATGAGCAACAGCATGCTTTTTATTCAGGGGACGCAGCATTTTAATCACCAGAGGCCACAAGGACGGGAGGCTTAAATTTGAATCACAAATGTGGGAGGATGAACTACACAGAATTGAAGTGCCAGTCACTAGTACTAGAAGTATAAATCATTACTTCGACATCAACAACGACGGTGTGCCTACCGGCATCCATACCGGGTTTTCCACGTTCCTAACTCGAGCCTGTAATTGAGATGCTTGTTCTAACCCGACTAACGCCTCAAGAAATGAGACTGCAAACATAACTAGGGGCCTGACTCTTCTAATTTTTCCAATCTATTACTGAATGCAGATATGTATAACTAAATTTTTGTAAGAGAGTAACGAGATTTCAACGCAATAAATTGAAATGCATCAAAATTTGTCGTACTAATATGAAACCGGGAGATAACATACTTAAATATTATAAGAAACAAAATAATCGGATAGATAATGTAAAACTATCAGGTTTCAGAGAAGTACCCAAAAACGCATGGCTCTTCAAGGCCCCTATGTAATCTATTTCCAATATCTATCACATGATTTGCTATAATAGGGCACTGTTTTCTCTTCTGCTGATTCCACTACAAGATTTCAGTAGAGAATTCTTGCAAGTGAACAACAAAAGCAGAATCCACTTAAATCCAAATAACCAAAGAAGATGTTAAGCACAAAAATCTCATTCTGGTTCTAACATTGTAGGGTCTACAAATACACAAAGAAAGACCAACTCGTAGTTGATTTGTTAGGATTTGTATGCTCGGCACTAAGATAAAACAGTGTACGATGTCGCTACTACATAAATCTTCACTACTAGTCTACTATATAAATTGAGGTTTAAGAATGCAAAATGATATTGGACACCCATGATGAGCATTGCTACCCATCCTTCCTTGAGGTACCCCTTCTTTTGGAAGATCTATCAACAAATACAATTCTAATTTTAGGCACAATAACACACAAGCAACAAAAGAAACCACATCGAAGCAAAACATAGAACATCCTCAGAGCGCAACACACAAAACCCTTAGAAATACTTGGGTCAAAGAAACCTTGAGAGGAGAAACCCTAGCACCAATTGGAATATATATAAATAAAGCATCATTCCACTCTAGCACCAATTGGAATATATATAAATAAAGCAGTAGTAGAAATAGTATAAGAACATTATCTGAACATATGCACTATCAGCACATCATTGTGGGGGAAAACATATAACAAAAAAAGAATAGATACAAACCAAGAACGTAACAGGAGTTTATGTAAGTAACTGACAAAGAGTCATGAATTCCCCCAAGTAGATGGGATTAGGTTGAGCATCAATTACCATTGATAGAGAGTGACACCTACTCCAATGGACAAATGATTTTGCAAAAAATGGAAATATTCCACAAATGGTTCACTATGCAAAAAAATGAATTAGCTTGATACATTTGTTACCAGTATGTACTCTCTTAAATAATAGAAATTAGATACACAACATCATTACATGTTTCAACAGAAATTTATAGATAAATGTCAAAACATCACCTTGTGAATTCAGAGTTTAAGTAACTAAAGAATGGATGACATTTTAAGTTTTAATAAGTGAAAGAAAGGATGATATACGTTTACTAACTTTAGCAAAGGTAAAAAAAAAAAACTCAGGTTATCAAACCTATGCACAACCTTTAAATGATGCTATTGTAAAATTTATGATTTTTCAGAATATTTTTAAGTTGCTGAAATCAACTTGCTGCAAATAATGCTAAGAAAACAATAAAAGCTACCATTTGAGACTTGAAGGAGAAAAGCATTTCTCGAATCCAACTTGAGGAAGCTATACGGGATGGAAGTGTCCTTCCAGGACACGGAATCAAGCAGTGCATCCATTAATATTTCTCGAATTGATTTCGGATTTGCAACCTAACTACATTCATAAGCTCTGCCCCAAACAAAGTCGGGAAGCCTGTCAAGCATTAGGAACAGTCAACAAATCAGACATTTACATTGAACTAACAAAGCGCTCAACCAGTAATAGCAATTGAATCGAAAACATCTGAATTATCTATTCATCCATGTTCATGTTCATGCTAACATCTTCAACTACAAACAAGTAAAACTACTATACTGTACCCCAATAAGAGGCACCAATTTGCAATACAAATCAGAAGATAGTAAATTAGACATCTTTCTATTTCGGTTCTCCCTTTTCCTCTTCACACAATTCAGTACATTATACCTCCAATTGAGATCTCAATGTAGCAGAACCAAGCTCTTCCAACCTCCAAATGCTTCCAAGATCCATAATTTTTCCCTCTGCAAGATAAATAATTGAACTTTTACTTCCAAAATCCTTTGGAAAAACAGAGAGTAAACTGAGGGAGGAAGAAAGAGAGTAGACCTTTGCCTGCGTATTGAGAATTTTGCAATATTGGGTGTACAAATATCTATCTCTGCCAGAAACAAGATTATAATTCTCAGTTCCATCAATCAAAATTAGAAAAACTAAAAATTCATAACCAACAGAAATGCTTGTATGAATACACTGTGTGTGTGTGTGAATATCTACATATATAGAGAGGGAGAGAGAGAGGGGGAGGGAGGGAGAGAGGGCAAGAACGATACCATAGCATCATAAACTCGATAAGCATCCGCCGAAACCCCAGCCAAATACAAGCCAGGGAAAACATTCTGGAAAGGAACATCAAACAGTAAGCAAAGAACAAAAAACGCATCAAAGCACGGAACAATTCACATAGAGAATATCTCTCACATCGAGTTGCTTCTGCACATTCTTGGGTCTCTTCTTCGGCCTCCGAGGCGGCCTCGATCCAGTCATCGAATACACATCTTCTTCAATCTCGTCACGAGAGAGCGAGATCCAGAACTTCCTCTTCTCCTTCTTCTCAGAGGTATGACCTTCCACAAAACCCCTCAATCTCATCGATTTCGGCATATTGTCAGTCAGCTGAACCACAGGACTCGTTTCCGGCAACTCTCCGTTCTTCGAAACCCTTCCAATCTCACTCGCGAACTTCACACCAGCCTTCCTAGGCCTCAGATTCCACGGCTTCGCCGTCGATTCCTCGACATCGACCTCATCGCAGACCTTCTCTCTCTCCACATCACCTCCGTCGCTCTCTCTCTCTAAACCGGAGGCCTCAATAGCTTGATGTTTCTGCGTTGAGCAGGACGAGAATGAGAAGGAGTTCCGAACCGTTCGCGATCTCCGCTTATCGGTCTCCGACTCATTCCTGGAACCGCCGTCGGAGTCATGCTCGGAAGGCGACGATCGGTGGTTGTGGTGGTCGGCAGCAGGCGGCGGCGGCGTGGACTCGCGAGTCGACTCACACGGCTGCCTACGGTAGCGATGGTTGGTGTTCATGTGGTTCTTGTGGCCCCATTTCAGGAACGGAAGAGAGAAATTGTGCAGAGGTTGAGACTTCACCGGAGCAGTCGCCATTATAGACTGTTCATTCGTCTACCAGTGCGGAATTCTAGAGAGGGAAAACGAAGAAGCCTGACCTTTGTTCTAGAGAGAGAAAACGAAACCCTAACGATAGGAGAGCGATGTATGGAGATTGACGGAGAGGAGGAGAGGTGGTGTTGGAGAAGAGAGAGAGAGAGAGAGTTTATGTAATGTTGATATGTACTTCCATCGTCTACATATACGAGAGCGGGAGGATGGAGTTCTACGTATACGCTTTTTAAGCTATTTTACATATTTACCCTTGGCTTTTAGTTAAGTTCCATTGTGGTCTTTTATTTATTTAATTAATTTTTCACTTTCTTATTTTGACATGCAATTTAAGCTGACAAGTTATAAATTAGGGCTTAAATCATAAAAGCACCACTATTTTCATTTTTTTTTTTTTTTTAATCATAAAACTCCAATAAAATTACAAAGTTGTCGCTTTGTCTCAATTCTGTTATATTGTACAGTTAACTTAGTGCGTGATTTGGTAATCAAAATTTAGTGACAAAAATATCCCTAAAGAAACATGTGCCAAACAAGTTGGGTTTTATGATCGTAAGGGTAATTTTGTCACTTCACAAATCCTTAACGGTTTACTTACAAAATTGAGGTAAAGTGAAAACTTTGTAATCGTGTTGGAGTTTTATAATTAAATAATAAAACTAATGAGAATTTTATGATTTAAGTCCTACAAATTATTATATATAATCTGAGAACATTGATCTCGGCCAAATGACTAGTTTACATAGGAACATATTTTATTTAGTTTTTTAAATAGTGCGTCAGTTATGATAGTTTGAAACCTATAATTCATGAATAATGTGATAATTTTTTGATTAACTAGTTTCTAAGTGAGACCAAATTTTTTATTTTATTTTTACCCGACAAGTGACTCTTACAATGCGATTGAAAAGATTTAAGTCCTCCACTTTTTATTTTGAAGGAAAATGAGAAACTATGTAAATCATAGACTTTGATAATTAGACAAAAATTTCAACCAGATAATTTAAGTTTAATTTGGGATGAGTTGGAAATGAACGTAGAATAAATAGAGTTATTAATAAAAGTGTGAGAGAGAAATTCGTCGTGATATTCGTTGAAGAGAAAATTATACCTAATAACTAGTGACGCAATTATTTGGACACTTAAATTGGATTCTAGTGAATACTGATGCGCTCTGATCGGACAAGGAAAGACTACTTATAATGTTTTCACAAAAAAAAAAGGACTACTTATAATAAATAGAGAGGATTAAAAATGGGATGAGATAATTAAAAATAATTATAAAACGTTAAATAACTGTGATATATATAAATTTGTATTATGAATGGTACTACGATAACGTTTTTGTTTTTTTTTACTGTCAAAATTTATTTTGACCAACTCTTATAGGTCCCATCCAACACGTCACTTTCTTTCTTCCATCTAATTTATCTATTTTATTTTTCCCTAAATCATTTAGTTACCTCTTTTTTTCCCTAAATCATCCAACATATCTCTCTCTCTCTCTCTCTCTCTCTTTCAAACTATCAAATATAAACCTTAATTCAATTCCACTCTGCAACAAAGCATCTGTCCTCACTAACAAAAATTGTGAAAAGATGCAAAATTTTTGAATAGATGTTGGACAGTTTTTTTGATTAATCAGGGCATTACACCATAGTTGTCTATGGTTGGACACTTGCTCAACCTAAACTTCACTTACTTTTTTTTATATATATACATACAAATACACTTACAAAACCATACTTCACAATACCGCCAACATGATTCTAAAAGTTATAAATCAATCATGTATTTATCAAAGTATTTTGTAGTTTATCTCTTTCCCCTATTTTATCTCTTAAAATTTTATTTAGATTACACGACAACTTACATCCCACATCATTCATGATACTTTATCATGAAAATCATTCATGATATTTGTCATTTTCTCAACATTAAATATAGTAGATAAGATGGCATATAAATTTTTTTTTTTTTTTTTCAAAAAAAAAAAAAAGAAGATAGGGGAGAGTATTTCGATCCATTTATATAAGGCGCAGAGCCGGTGTGTGCCGAAGGGGCATGTCCTGCCTTGTTGTAACAAGTAAACGCTTGCTCATTTATCTAAAAGTTCAAATTGTTGAGTAGTACTATATACTCACCTATTTATACACAATCACTTTTCCATTCGAATCTAATGTGGGAGAAATAACCCTTGTTACATTTTCCCCACTCAAACTTACAACGCTCTCGTTACAGCTCGAACCCGCCTACCCGGGCTGACTCACCCAGATGCCTTCTGGTCGGGACATTTGGCGTGACACCGGTTCAAAGATTATGTTTGGCTCTGATACTAATTGTAACGGGTGGACGCTTACCCATTTATCCAAAAATTAAAGTTGTTGAGTAGTACTGCATATTCACCCATTTATACCCAATTACTTTCCCATCCAAATCCGATGTGGGACAAATGACCCTTGTTACACCTATCTAGTATAGATGTAGTAATTTTTTAATGTGTTTTTATATTTATAAAAAAAAATTCTATATAATACAGCCTAAATTTTTTAATTTCTAAATTTTCCTTTCCTTTTCTTTCTCTTTAATATTATTTTGATTTCCTTAAAAAAAAAAATTTAATATTTGCTTCTTTACTCGAACTCTAAATATATATATATATATATATATATATATATTTTCAAAGTTCTCATTTTTCTTTTCTTTTCTTCTTCCTTTTTTTTTTTTTTTTTTCCCTGTCTCTTAAGATTCTTGTTTTTGCACTTAAGAATGATGAATGATATATATAGTATGCAATTTTTTTCCTTCTTATTTAGGTTATGAATTTTTATTTATTTTATTTAACGTTAAATTAAAATCTTAACCCTGCCCCTTATTCATATAGAATCAAATCAAGTAAGACGATGAAGAAATATAGAAAATTTCTCAAGCAAATATCGAGTGCCAAGTGTTACATAACACATAAGTATTCTATTATTTCGTTTGAGAGTATTTTAAACTAAAAATATTATAATTATAATTTTAAAATACCATTCAATGCTCTTTCTATAAACAGTATATATACACACACACACACATTTAAAAAAAAAAAAAAAAAAAAAAAAAAAAAAAAAAAAAAAAACCTAACAACCTTCGACAAGAGGGCATGTTTATCATCAAAACCAACATTATTAAGTTATTTTAGATTCAAACTTGACTCAACTTGGATTAGCTTGTAAGATATTTTTATATTTGTAATTGGCCCAAGTGTCAAGTTAAGGTGATGATGAGGAGTCAGACCAGTGGTTTTGCATGGTACTTTGGTACAGCAACTGGGACACGTGGCTTTGGTTAGGATTGAGGGTCCCACAAAGCATGGAGGTGAGTAGACCCCACCTGGATCCTGATTATGGCTCTTTAGATAAATCTGAACCGTCAGATCCAACAAGATTCCTTCCTAATTTTCTCTCCTAATGTCGCATTCCTAAACTTATAGGCCCAAGTGGAATTCCAATTAATCAAATTTTCAATCTTGTTATAAATGAATGGGTCTTAGTCAAACCCTCAATTTGGTCATCCAAATTCAATTAAATAGTATTATTGTTGTTGTATATGTATAATCAAGTAATTTGACATGCAAATGACTGGGGTCCAATATGACCCATTTCAGTCCAATCAAATGACGAGGATACATTCTACTATTATAATATATATATATATATATATATATATATATATATATATATATATGCACCTAAGCGTATTGTTTCAAGCAACTAAATTCAATGATTTTCATATTTGGAGTGTTTGGTTAACAGATTTCGTGAAGAAAATGAAAAGAAAGGTGAAAAGAAAGCTACAACAATTTCCTCTTCCTTTTATATTTTTTCACTTTTAAAATAAAAAACCAAAAAGTTTGTTAAAAATAGTGGGTATTTAGAAAAATAATAGAACAATGACATGTAGAATTAAAGATTCTTCTTTACTCTACTCATAATTTCTTTTTTCATTTTCTTGGAGTAATTTTTATAAGATAAAATGACTTTCTTTACATTGTCTTTACTTTTCACTATTAAATAAGAAATCAAAAGTGTGTGTTAAAAATAGTGAGTATTGAAGGGGAAAAAAAATCACATGTGGACTTAAAAAAATGTTGGTAATTTTTGGTATTTTATTTAACTAATCATAAATAGAATGTAATTTAAATGTAACCACATCACACCAAAATATATTTTTATAAAAAATTTTTATAAAAACAATAGGCCGATAAATCATTAATTCAAACAAACATATGAAAGTGTACGTAAAAGAGACTATTTATAGTCTCCCTACCTTGCAGATTCTATCATAGTCATATAAAGATGACATCAAGAATCTGCTTAGTTTATATAACTCTGAAAATAATTTTTAAGATAAAACTATATATATATAAAGTGCAAAAACAAAGAATTTTTTAGTTTTAATATAAAACCAAGTCTTCCAAGTCATATAAAGCTTTTTAGTTTGTAATATAAAACTATATATATATATATATATCTTCTTATCTACTCGTAATTTTATTTTATTTTTTTGTCATTTTCATGTAATAATTTTATAAAATAAAATAACTTTCTTTACATTCCTTTCTACTTTATTGCGTTTTTAAAATTCGATACTCCCAAACATTAACAATTACTTAAAATAATTTGTTTTGCATTGCCCAAATTTTCCGCAATTCAATCTCCTCAAATATATTGATCTATCTCAATATTTATTTCTTTTAGTGGGAGAGAATAGTAAATGTCTTTCAGTCCACGACAATACCAAAAAACGTAAGGAAAGGTTATATAGCTATTACTATTTTGCAAAAAAAAAACAAAGAATGAAGAACCAAACCACTTTGATGACTCCATTTTTAGCCTTCAATCACATCCACTAACGTTGGACACTTGAATTCTCATGTCAAATCTTCTGAAATAACCATTATTCAAGTTTGGTAAGCTTATGGAAGTTAGATACGTTGTATAACTTTTGCCATTATTCCACACTCTTGTATTAAATTAATCTATTTAGGATGTCAACGGAATGGTTTCGAGCCCGCTCCCTTTTTTCAAAACCTGTCTTGTAAATAAAAATATTTTTCTAAACTCGGTTTGCAAACACTCTAATGTACATATCTTTTAAGAAGAATTATTCAAATACGAACAAAT